GCAACACCAGCAAAGTTTTGAGACGATTTTGCGACGACTGCTAGAAAGGGGTGCTCACAGTTTGATGCTAAAGATGTCTCAAAATGTAGACGTCTACATTTTCAGACACAATTTGGAACGAACTGTGAACACCCCAATTATCATCGAGAAAAATACTATCTGTTTTTTTTTACACTAATATACAAAACGATAACTTTAGAATACTCTGTTCAACAAGAAATACTAACAATTGCAGTTAAATTTTTTCCAAATTTTCATTTGACAATATTTTAGGCATAGGAGCAGATATGATTTTAATTCCAACTGCATAATGGTGTATGGGTGCCTTCCAAAACAGGTATGCAAGCAGTTTTGGTTGGCATTTTAGTCATACCTATCATTGTTTCAAGACCACTTGAGCGCTCTCACACATAAACCGATAACCGAACCTACATCGGCCGTTGACGTCCGTCAGTGACGATAAATTCAAACATGTTTGTTTTTCTCGTCCGATGTCAGGTGAAAAGTATCAAAATGGACTGCAAAAAATTAACTTATTGGGTGCAGAAACAAAAAAATTACATATAAAATCACATGTTTAGAGTACGTCAATTAAAATTTATTAAAGTATTTCACTGCTTGCAAAATTGTAATGAAAACTAGATTTGTGTGTACAAATACGGTCGGCAAATTATCTGGTTAAGTGTGCGCATCAATTCGGACGGTCAAATTGTTCGGCCGAAATCGGTCGGCCTATCGGATGCAATGTGCGCCTCCTAGCGTAAGGGATGAGAGCATCAAAATTTCAGCGTTACTTATTTTTGGACCACCTTGATGTATATACCGTATAACTGTAAAAATTAAAATTATGAAATTAAAAAAAAAATTGGACCAAAAGTTTTCAAAGTCACTTTTCTCGAGAAGCCCTGTAGGTATGATTTTCATTTTTGAATTATTAGAAACTACAAACAATATACTTTTAAAATTTGCAAGATTGTACAATGTCCGGCAACCTTTGATTTAATCTTAGTTCAGACGCACCGTGGTTGATCAGACGACTAAAGGACAAAGAGACAGGGGCTCCTGACCGTGCACCATAGGCGTGGGTAACGGCGCAATTTTTTTGGCGCTGACACACTAACTCCAGCGCCACTGTTGGAA